TTTTTCGACAAAATTATTATGAAAAACAGGAATTAGGGGATCTTAGGGATGTTAGCTATCTGTATATTGGGGACCTCTATCCACTTCACTTTTCGATTATCAAAAGTTATTTTCATCATTTGTTCAATGTTTTCCTTCTTTTGGTGTCCACGGCGTTGAAAATCCTCGGGCGGTCCTATGATTTCATTTAAATCATCAAACCGTCGATGGAAACGACTTACTGTAGCATCTTCAATTCATAAACGGATAATCGAAATGCCACAAAATTTTGGCTGAAGTGGTTTGAGTGTTTGAAATTTCAGTTAATAATATCGATTTTTTGTTGGAGACGACATCTACATGTGATATGTTTGGGGCGAGAATGCAAGCGTCTCTGGCAGCAACACTTGCGATAAATTTGTAAAAGGCGGCACACAAGAATTGAACAAATTTTCGCAAATTATTTTATGTGGAGGTCAAAGAGGCGCCTCATCAGTGGAAAGAAAGAAAGAAAGAAAAAAAACTCAATATATACATCTGTCTCAGTGCCAAGAGGTGCGGACCTGTTAAAAGTTATCGCTAAGAGTAGCTATAAGTACGTTTCGAAATACGTGGTAAAAGATTTTACATCATCGGCGGAATCTTTTAAGTTTGGTGCACTTCGGTTTTCTTATTTTAAAAAAATTTCTCAAGATTAGAAATGGAATGTCTGAAATCATCAAGAGACTAATTAGTGATCAGTCCAATGCCCCTCACTCTTTGCCCATTGATCTTTGCGTTTGTGCCTACAGCTACTACAGCTACTTGACCTTAAATTAGCTGCGAGTGTATATCTTGACAGAAGTAATTGGTAACTTTCAGTTTCCGACATTGCCGCCCTGAAAACAAATCCCTTGAAATCCCATGAAATTATGCAGTGCATGCGTAACCCGGTTCTCTTTTTTTTTTAAATATGAAGTCGACTCGTTCATTACAATTAGGTTCTTATTGTTCCATAGGAAAATCGAAATTGATTAATAGTTGTGACGACCGATAACTTGCTAATAAGACATAAAGTCTTGTTGCCTTTTAAAGTGCAAGTGATTTTAATTGGTCGTTTGAAATAAGACTATAAAGGGTAAGGGAAGGTAAGGGACCGACAACTTCGCTAATAAGACATAAACTCTTGTTGCCTTTTAAAGTGCAAGTGATTTTAGCTGATCGTTGGGAATAAAGCTATAAAGGGTAAGGGAAGGTAAGGGACCGACAACTTCGCTAATAAGACATAAACTCTTGTTGCCTTTTAAAGTGCAAGTGATTTTAGCTGATCGTTGGGAATAAGGCTATAAAGGGTAAGGGAATGCTTCTTCGTCTGAAACTTATATTGTGTTGAATTGTAATCTAATGGATGTGCGAAGTTCAAGAGTAGATGTGACTTGCTTTACGTGCACGCCCGTAATAGATAAAAAACTGAAACAATCTCGAAAAAACTGAGAATTTTTTTATTTTCTTCTTTAATTTTCGACTCTGCCTTTTCTCCATGTATTTATCGGGGAAAATTTCAGTTTCCGTGCTAGAAAAAGGGTTCCGATCGGTTTACTAACACCCTTACGGTTAACGATTAAATGTATGCTGCTTTATCTTATTATAGATGGGAAAGATGGGAAGCGCTTTTGATATTTCCGTGATTTTGGGGTCAACCCCAGCCAAAGGCACAAGAGATTCCCGAAGAAATTACAAGTTTTTTCAGAATATACACAAGACGGGGCTAAATATCTAATATATGTAGCGTTTCTGCGATTTTGGGGCCAACCACAACCACAGGCACAGCCACAGGAGACTTCCGAAGAAATTACAAGTTTCTTCTGAATATACAAATAAACGATAGATTTTTATAAAGGCACAGTTATCTTGGATAAGCAAATAAATTTGACACGCCCGCTAATATGGGATAGATTTCTTACGTAATATTCTAAGGGAGTTGGAACAATCTTATATCTTGTAAGTTATTATAGTGCAAGGAAGCATAAGCAAGGCGAATAAAAGCGATCAATTCGCACTTAAGAATTGCGAAGCGGTGGAAAATGGAGAAGAATTGCGAAGAAATGGAAAAAGCTTATCAGACTCGCATTGAGAAAATTCTGCATAAGACATCGTAAATGAAATATACATTGGCAAAATCGTCCCATTGCTGTAACTTGTGCAAATCATTTTATAACATATGGAACATTCAATTTGATGGCTAAGTAAATATGTTGTTCCTCAAGCACTTTCGCCAAGAAATAGAACTGAGCAAATGGAATGATACCTTGAGAAAAGGCAAATATTGCGAAGGATGACGATTTTGTAATCGATTTTAGCATATATGTTTAATGTATGGAAAAACCGAAAGTTCCGACCATATGTGCCTGGAAGGAGTGGGAAATTACCACTGATACTAATGCATAAGGTCGAGCTTCTTTTTTTTGTTGTCTGACATTAATAATCACCAATAGTTCTAACCACACTTGCGCTGAAATTCCTAAGCCATTGCAATTACTTATGAAACTTGTTGTTGTACAGCAATTGAAATGTTAATCAAAATTTGTTTTTTTTCTTTTGTTTTTCGCTCTTTATAGGAAAAATGAATTCAAATGAGAAACAAAATAAAATTAATTTTATATATTCATTGCTTATGCATGTGGATGTTAGCGACTGAAAACCGCGACTACTGATAGCATATATATATGCATAGATATATTTTTATATATACAAAGTTTTCTAAAACATGAGAAATAATACGAAAAACCGGAAACTAACGAGTATTACCAAAGAGAGAGAGAGAGAGAGAGAGAGAGTATTGAAGAAAAAAATTTATAAAATAAAAGTAAAATTCCATGTAATTGTAATTTTAGTTGTAAATTTTTGTCTTTTTTTTTTTTTTTTTTTTTTTTTTTTTTTTTTTTTTTTTTTTTTTTAGTAGAGACGAAATGTTTTTATATCTGGATATGTGTGCATAAGAGTGAGCAAGTGGTTATGAAAATTCTAGAATTCTTTTTTTTTTTAAAAAAAAAGGACCTAACAAAATCCAAAAAAAAAATCGTGGTACTCTACTTTAAACCCAACACTACAAAACAACATTCAGCGCATACCCATGTATATACATATATATATATATATATATACATACATTTGCATATTAGTCGTGACACCCATATAGTCAACGAATACTTATATATAGATGCATACTTATGCATTGTATGATATAAATACATATACACAAAGTAATACGTTATGTGTAGCAAAGTATTTAACACAGCTTCCTGTTGGTGGTTTACTTCCGCTTGTATTTTTTGTTATTTTCTTTTGTTGTTTGTGAATTTTTTCTTTTTTCACTTGTATGAGTTTTGTTCTTCGCGTAACAAATCCATCCTTTTTCCATCTACATGCCCACCTCATAGGAGGTTTAATTTTTTGTTTTTTTTTTTTTCGAATATTTCGCTGGCGTCCTTTTAATGTTTCTTTGGTCTTTAAGTCGTGTTTACCGCACTCTCCACTTTGACGTCTCACTTCATTTCCGCCGTTTGCGTATATGTAAGCAATTTTTTTCCTTTCCCACTACTAAGCAACATTTGTTTTTTTTTTTTTTTCTATCATTTTTCTTTCCTTCAGCAATTTTTTGTTTTTTTTGTTTTAGTGGGGTTTGTGTTTGGTTTGTTGGTAATTTTTTTTTTTTTTTTTTTTTTTTTTTTTTTTTGCTTCGCCATTTTTGGTATTGATGTCATAGTTGGTATTGCCTTAATGTTGTTGTTGATGCCATCTTTGTTGTTTAGTTGCATCTTGACATGTAGTCAGTTTCTGTTCTTTTTTTTATAGCCATTGCTGCACTCTCCAGAATACCGTTTTCTTCCTACTGGTCGAGTGTCATTTCTTCATTATGAGAATTCTTTGTGAATTTTTTTTTTTTTTATTTATTTCTGTCCATCTCTACAGCAGTGTGTATTTTTGTGATTTGATTGCCTTTTCTTTTATTTGAATGTTGTCTTAGAAGTTTCGTTTCGAGTTGAAAGAAAATATCGA